CATCCATCCATCCATCCATCCATCCATCCATCCATCCATCCATCCATGGTTATGGAAGGATGATCCAGAAATATATTGATGCATATAGAATGCAACTTTTTCCCAAAGTACCAATACAAAAGCTACTTGCAAAATAGCATTACAGAAGTGACAACATGCAGTATGAGACCTGGGGGAGGAATCAGCTCCTGCATATTCAACATAAGATGCAAGTCCCTATAATGTTTATGGCCACATTTTGGAAGTGATTTGCCATTGCCTTCTTCCTACAAATCAGAGAGTTAGTGGCCTTAAATTACGCATTTAGCTTCAAGTTTAAGGTGAGACCAGAATTCATGCTCTTCCATTTTCCATCTCAGTGCCCTCAACCTCTACACCAAACTGGCTCTCCTATACAATTAAGACACCACAAAAAACATTAACATAGGTATAACTGTTTATTGGGATACTATGTTGTTTTCAAATAGATGAAAACAAGCAAATACATAAGATCTTACAATATCTAATAATTAACAATTTAGATATTCATAAATGGAAATTGGGGATTTGTCAACAATGCAAAAAAAAACCAAAGCACTCATTCATAATGCCTCAAGTCAGCTTCAAAATTTTCCTGGGCTCTTGGTTACATCCAAGCTAAATATGCCAGCAGAGATTCACAAAATGATTTCACTATTGCCATCCCAACAATCCAATATATATACTTATAGATAGTCCTCGACTTAAAAGTGACTTATGGCTGTTTTTCACACTTACAACTATTGCAGCATCCCCATGGTAATGTGGTCAAAATCTGGATGCTTGGCAACTGACTCATATTTACGGTTGCAGTGTCCTAGGAGGATGTTTTTCGACCGTCTGACAAGTAAAGCCACTGGGAAGCCAAATTCACTTAACAGCTGTGTTACAACTTAACAATTGCAGTGATTCACTTAACAGATGTGGCAAGAAAGGCCTTAAAATGGGGCAAAATTCATTTAACAACTGTCTCACTTAGCAACATGAATTTTGGGCTCAACTGTGGTCATAAATCAAGGACTACCTGTATTTGTAACAATCCAAGCCAAATATAGTTTATATTTCTTTCTATCTAAGCTAGCATTAAATATATATCAACTTATTTCTGCATCATCTGTTATAATTAATTTCAGCCACTGTGTATTTTAGTAACACATTTGTTTCCCAAGTGCTTGGTTTAACAACTTGTTTATCCCAGTCCTTGCCATGTAGTAGACTGCAATCCACATGGAACAAATGTTTCTGTATTACTTCTTACATTCCCAAGACTTCGTTCATGTGGCAAAGAAATATTACTTAACTAAACAAAACAACCAACCATGTTTATATTTCCCACTGAAACAGTTTAGGTACTACAGTTTTTTAAATATTAAGTGGCAATTATTATTCTCTGAATATTAGCTAGTAGTATATAAAGCAATTTATAATGTAGTACTTTCACAGTCAGTGATACCAATGTATGACCTGGACAAACAAACAGATATTCTGATAAAAATCCTGTTTGTTATCCTTTTGCCAATGGCATTGGGAACTCTTAGAAGAAAGGAGTAATTAACTAGCCTTTTGATTAAAATCAAGTGTAGTAAATTTCCAAATTTGGATCTTTGTTGTCTGGTTCAAATATTAGATCTCTAGTTCAGAAAAGACTTGCCTGTTTTATATTACTTTATATATGTTTTTTTTTATTTCCAATTTTGTATAGCCTGCTGATTTTCTCAAGGACATCTACTTCTGTAACTTTATTTTTAATAATATTGTATATATTTGTTAGTTGCAGATGCAAAAATTCTATATTTTAAGAGAATTAGAGAATTCTATATTCTCTTACAAATAATTAAAATATAAATAAAGCTGTGAAGTCAGTTTTGTGGAAAATGGAATAGTTTTCTTATCTTCTACTTAAGCTTTTACCGAAAAGAGAGTAGCAAATATTATAAACTAATATGAATAAAGGTATTTATCGGTACACCTCAAAGTATGCCTATCCCCATCTAGCAATGCCAAACAACCTTCTGAACACAAGAGAAAAAGTAGGTCAGTTGGGCAACACTGTTCTTCTGATGCAATTATAATGGCTGTTTTGCAGTCAACACTTCCTGAGTTCATTGCAGCAATGAAGAGACTATGAAGATTGTCTTAGATGATATAAAGGCTTTCATTAACACATGGTACAGGTTTAGCTTTTACACTAACACAAAAACAAGAGTAGCAGCTTGTGAAAAGGTTAAGAAATGGGTATAAAGCTTGATGAAAGCTCAGAATTTAAATTATCTAGTATTCAGAAGGTAGATACATTTCATCTACCAAATTTCTCACTCATTATATTCATTTCCAAATAGCTATAGGAATATATACGAATATATAGGAATATATATAATCTATGATTTGAGATGTTTGATAAACAAGCATACAGACAAAGAACCAAGCACCTAATTTCACATGTATTGCAGAACATGGACATTCAAGAACATGCTATATCCAATACATACAACATTTTCCTCTTTAATTTTCATAAATTACAGGTAGTCTTCAAGTTATGACCACAGTTGGGACAAGACTTATTGATCCGCAATGTGGTTATTCAGTTGCACCTCCTTTTTTTGCTGCAGTAATTTATTCTTATTTGAGACAGACAGTTTAGAAAAATGAAAAATAAATGAACAAACAAACAAATAAATAAATATTTCACACCAAAGAACTTCCATGGGAAGTGTTTTTCACTAATACATTCCTACTACATCTTTTCTGGCATACGTAGCCAGAGAAATAATGATTTAGAAACATTGACCCAAAGACATTGGGTAACTTAATAAAATACAATTGATCGAGTTAAACTGCTCTGTCCATCCAGAATCCAGACATCACAATTTGGTGGCAAGCCACATTAGTAAAAATCAATAAATCTAAAACTAAATTATTTTAAATGAAATCCAGTGTTCCCCTAAAAAAGGTTAGAAACAAACAAAAGAGAAGAGATGTAATAAATACATAAACTACAGCAATAGGGATAGATACAATATATTACAATATGAGATCAGATAGAAATATTAAAATCAAAGCCAGCCATGAAGAAAATATTATACAGGTTAATCCACAACAGAATATTTGACAAGACATGCAATGTTAATTCTTCTGATACACTTTGAATAAAAGATGCCTTGCATACCACATAAGCTGTAACAATATGGTTTATCATTTCCAGGCATGATCTAATAGTTCAGAAATACATGTTTCCCACATAGCACTAAGATGGTAACATCTAATTGACACTGAAAAGGTTAAATAGGGTCAGAGCAAATTATAACTTGAGTAGGAAATAGCCATAAATCCCAGGGCTATAGATTAAATTGAGAATTTTAAAAAACATCATGGTAAAAGGTAATCAACAACCACCTCCAGATTGTAATCAGCAAGACTTCTTGATCTGTGTGTTTTTCTCTGGAATGAGAAAGAATAGACTTTGCTTTATTCTATAGAACAGGGGTCTCCAACCTTAGCAACTTTAAGTCTGGAGGACTTCAACTCCCAGAATTCCCCAGCCAGCAAAGCTGGCTGGGGGATTCTGGCAGTTGAAGTCCTCCAGGCTTAAAGTTGTCAAGGTTGGAGACCCCTGCTATAGAATATCTTTTCAGGTATGTGAAAAAAACTTCAAAATGCTTCTCTAAGGATAAAGTGTTTTTAAACATATTTCTTAAATTATAAGAGTTTTATGAAGAGATACAGAGATTATAAAATGATAAAAATAAAATGTTTAGACAGATTATAGATATAGACCAAACTACACAGAATGCAAAGACTGTACAGTCTGAAAAAGGAAAGAGATTTGTTTTTAAACATTTTTATTTTTAAATTGGAGAGGACCACTTTCTGCACCATGGCAGCAAAATTTGGATTCTTTGCTCAATACTTAGGACGATGCTATAGTGCTATTTCTACATTAAAAGAGGTACTAGAGGAATATTTCAAAACCTTACTGTAATGAATCTCCTGAATGCATCGAACTAAAATTTGGCATGCTATATATGTACTATAAATGGTATACCATCCCAGCTACTTTCACTCCACTTTGTCAAAAATGAATCATCTGCAGGTCTAGAGATGTTCATAGGAGTGTCAACAATATTTAAAAAAATGGCAAGCATGCCCAAGCAATCAAAGCATTATTCCCTTATGACCAAAAAGATAGGAGCAACGTAAGGTGTTGGGGGCCAAACCTTTCTCCAGATCATGCTGAAGGAATCTAAGAACCTCTGCCAACTGGGCTAAAGCGGGAGAGAGAGACCCTCCCAAAGGCACCATCGGGAAGAGCCTTCCAGGTGGCATCATAGATGCACCTTGTGAGAGGTTTGCGAGATGCCAGGATAGTGATGATGACCCTTTCAGGAAGATCAGCCACCTCTAGCCGCTGCCGCTCAAGTGCCACATGGTCAGCTTGAGCCACTGGGGCTCCGGGTGGAGCAGAATCCCCTGATGAAGGGAGATTAGATGGGCTGGGATCCTCCAAGGAGAAGCCACCGACAGGTTGATCAGGTCCACAAACCAGGGCGTCCTTGGCCAATAGGATGCCAGGAGGAGGAGCTCTGCTCGTTCCTCCAACATCTTCTGAATTACTGCCGGAATGATGGGAGCGGGGGAAAGGCATAGAGGAGACTTTTGGGCCATCCGCACCGAAGGGCATTGGTCCCCTCCACTCCCTG